ATAATGAAGGGAAAGCAGCTTCAAGCAGAGGAAAACACCTGCCTCCCTCCAAATGATTAAGCAATGTCTGAGACACTTCAGGGAAAAACTAGTTACCAAAAACATCTGAGGGGGTAGTGGACTGCAGAGCTCAACAGGCAAATCCACTCTTGAATTTGAGTGAGTGTATAATACCTAGCCCAGATAATCTAACAAACATTATGAATAATAAAGCTATGAAAGGTAGGGATCACATCCAAAATAAACCCTTAAATCTTGCAATTTTGTGCCTTGATGGGATCTTTAAAAGGTCTGGTCTACGTCTGGCTTCTATAACTAACCCAGACCACACAGAGATATATCTGGCCAAGTACTGGCAATATGAGACATATGTGCCAAGGTTGCTATGCTGGCCAGTTTTCAGTGGTATATGGATCTTTTGTCATTGTTGTGTGTTTCTTCTGCAACTTTAAGAACTGGGTACAAGCCACCTGCAAGGTACATGCACTTCTGTTTCCCCAAGGAGATCAGGAATCAGCAAGGATCACTAACCATTCACCCCAACTCACATGCACAAAGGAAAGGAGTCAAAATGTCTCAACACATCATTTTTTAAAATTCCTGACTTCTAAACTCATGCTAACATCTCCAAAAGAGGATACAGATTCTCTTGGGAACTGCTTTCATGGGCAATAACGGTGTCACAAGTTCTTCCCTAAGGCTAATTCTAAAACTTTGCTTTTACCAGTTGGAATCCATTCCCTCTACTGTATTCAAAAAGATCATACTTATTCTAAAAGAAATTTTCATTGGCTTACCATGGGAACACAAACCAGCAATTTTCTTAGGCTCTTAGAGATCTCACAAGTCTTGTAGGCTCCTGTTGAGAATATGCCATGACATGCATGACATACTTAAATGCTTAAAAACTCCATTTTTCTTTTTGAAACAAATCTTTTCCTCTCTTCTTTCTTCTACAGCTATGCTGTACCACATAAGCAGAGTAGACAGTTCTTGTAACAGGCAACCATCTACCTGTCTTGGCTGTTCAGCAAAGACAACATCCTAAATCAAATGTAATCGATGCGCAAAAAGGATCTGGCAGCTAGAATTCCCTCCCCAAATCATAGCAGCAGTGGCAGCAGCATGACCTCAGTCCCAGAGACTAACATTACAATATACACAAAATTCTCTTACCCCCTGAAAGTTCTCAGGAGAATTCATGCTCTTGGAATATACTTAGGATTGTCTAGAAGGCAGATACAGTATAAGTAGGGCCCAGGGAATTAATCTCACTTCATTTCCTTTTCAAAGGATAAAGGGAGCCGACTGGGGCCCAATCTTATATTGTGAAGATCTCAGGGCAAAGGGCCTCTGCCTAGCCTAAGGATAAGCAGGCCTATGTCAGGTCACTATGGGGCTTGGGAAAAAAGAGATAAGCAATAGAAATTACACTCCAGGGCAAACTCCATCCCTAAACCTATAGCCTTGCCTAGTTTCACACATAACAGCAGCAGGGCTAAGATCTCTTTCTATTGACAGTTAATGCCTAAATCAGCACCTTGGAAACATATTTTCTTAGCTAGCTATTGTGTCTCCCCCCCTTCCCCAATCCTTTTTAAAGCTTAAAGTTCTCCTTTAGGCAGAAAATTAAGATATACTCTCCCCCCTGTTTCCCTTCTCCCTCCAACCCACAAGCTTATTAGACTTCTAAACAAGGAATACTATTTTTATACTACCACTCCAGGGAGGTTATGAGTATTTAAGTAATTTGATTACCCGCGGCCATAGAGGTGAAGTGCCAAGGGTACTTCAAAGATGCTAGGTTGAGAACCTTAAACTTCTGACTGGTGGCATAGCAGTTTGTTCCAGACAGGCCTAATGATGCTGCCAACAACAACGCACTGTTCCCCACTGCACCCTGGCCTGCCATGTCCTTAGAACTTCCAATTGTGGCAACCTTACTCTATTTTCTGAAATGTCTAAACTATTTTAGGGGAGAGGAGGATTCTCAAATTCCCATGACAATTCTAGGGGTTAGAGAGGGTTAGGGGTGAAGGGGATGAATGATTACTCTTCATTTCAGTTCAGAGATGGGAAGGGACAGATCAGTGGACCTCTCTGTTCTACCCAACAAGCATTCGTACTTTTCATTCCTGCCTAATATCCCTTTTGCCTTCATTTTACTTCTTTGACTTTTTTTTTTCAGGATCCAATTTCTGTTCCCTTATGTTCTGAGTTTGGTGTCTGAGGCTGAAGGCATATGATTGGCTAGGGCCTCCAGGAAACACTGAGTTCCCTCCTTAGAGAAAGAGTGAATTAGACTCTCTTGATTCCCAAAGCACAAGTTGCTGTAGGGCTTGGGGGGAGGGAATGCAGGTGCCTAGCTCTCTTTAAATTGGTGGCTGGGGATCAAGTAAAAGAGAACAACAACAGACTAATTGCTATACTTCCTGTTATTAAGAATTACAACTGTGCTACTTATCTATGAATTCTAGAGTTGTGATTCCATTAAAATGCTCTAACCCTTGGTGCAGTGGATAGAGCACCAGCCCTGAAGTAAGGAGGACCTGAGTTCAAATCTGGCCTCAGACCAAACACTTGACACTTTCTAGCTATATGACCCTGAGCAAGTCACTTAAACCTAATTGCCTAAAATAAAAAAAACACACAAAAAATGCTCTAACCTAAACTATCACTGAATCATAGCAAAGCATTTCCTTGCAGAGTACACCTATAGCAGACTGAAGGGTCTCAAGGAAGCCAAAGAGTCAAGATATTTCCATTAAAATGCTCAGTGTCTGCAAGCAGTAAATACAGACAGTCTACAATCCCATTCCTATACAACCCACAAACAGCTAAGGACCCACCAAAACTCACGGCCACCCAAAGCATGAACAAACATCAACATAAAATCCCAAAGCAAGAGCTCAGGTGGCCATCCCAATATATTGACTTATAATTTCAGGTGGCCATGGAAGGCTTAAAACAAGAGGGGCCAAAGCACATACCAGTTCACATTCTTTCTCTTTCTATGTCCATACCTGCTTCTTTCACACCCAGACAAGAGAAATCATCCAACTCCTTTCTCTCTTCTCTGGAGATATTCCTCCTTTCAGTCTTACCCCTTTCAAGGTAAGTGTATTCTAATCCTCTTCTAGAATCCCCTAGTCAAAGGTGGACAATCAGAGTCATTAAAGTGATCCATTTCCCACCAACTCCTAAAGGTTTTCAGCCACTGTTCTGATCTAATAATTGTTTAAGAAGCTATAATCTATAGATTATTTGTGCTAAAAACCATAAAGCCCAATACTGTACCTACTAAAGGTACCCCCAGATCTGGAAAAGAGGAAGTATGGTTTGTAGCTTCTGGGCAAAATAATGGTAGGAAGAACCTGGAGATGTAGATTAAGGGTTTTCAGAAATCACCTCCAGCATGGAATCAGACTAAACCTCTTCCACATTCCACAAATCCCTCTCCATCAACCTCTAGGAGACTCTTCAGTTTCCAGGCATATCTCTGGGGGGCCAGACGTCTGATCTTCCCCACCCCCACACTCCTCCAAAGAAGAAAACAACTAAACCTGATAAGAGGTTACTAAGTTAGAACCAAGTTAGGGCTCTTATTTCACTCTCTTTCTCCTCTGTACCACCTCTAGATCCCACTTAAGTCTGTTACAGAGGATGGTCCCTAGTATAGAAGCAGACAACGTCTTTCCCTCATTACCTATCCCAGGTTCAGCTGCACTGTATGTGTATTCTTTTCCACTTTCCCCTTCCCAATACAACTGCGCTGGGAGCGATTACATCATTCCCTCACTGACACATCGGGCAGGCACCGATGCTAAGGAAGGGATAAAGGGAAGCCTTTGGACTCTCCAAACACACCCCTTGGGTAGTAGGGATGAGCTGAAGGATGCTGATAAATGCCTGGGGTTACTGTACTACCAGCAAAGGAGTACCTGCTTTCCCAGACAACCTTTCCAGGACTTTCCGGGGACATGGGATCCCTTGGCCTTTCTCCAATTCTGGCCAGTGAGTAAAACTAATGGTCATTTTTACGGCTTCACCACCATCCCACAAAGCCCAAGCCTTCCAACACACCGGATATCACAGCCTTGTGATCCCATTCTCAGGTTCCCAGGTTTCAGCCTTCACAGTTTGTTGCACCTCCATTTCCATCAGCTCCCCCTTAGTTTGCCTCCTGGACTCAGGCCTCTCTTGTCTTCCGCCTCCTACCTTCATTCCCCACCCTCGGCTACTTGAATGGGGGTGGGGGGTGGGGGGAGTTGATATCTTCAGTTCCATTCCTAGGGACTCTCACTCCCCTCATCCCCTCCCCCACTCCTCCACCAAATGTCTCCCCATCCCAGCAATGTCTACCTTTGGCATTAGTGTCCTCCTCCCAGCCAAGCTTCCTGCCCATCCCACCTCCTGCTACCTCCCACTCCCCTCTCGTTGCTCAGTCTGGTTCAGGTTTCCCCTCCCCCCAATCTCTCTAACTCCACATCTCTAGCTGCCCGCACTGCTTCCCACTGCGGGGATCGTCCTTCTTCGGCTTCTCCCATCCCTTCAGGTTTCCTAAGCCTCCTGTCGAAGACATCTCCTGCCTCCCGCTTCTGGTCTCCACCCCCTCCCCCCTACAAAGGGCCTCTTCATCTCCTCCTCGTCGTTCCTCCAGCCCTGCTGCTCACTCCCCAACTCCACTCGGCTTCCCCACGGGCTCCCACTTCTCCCTCTCCTTCCAGCTGCTCCCCCTACCTCTTTCCCATTAGCTCCCCACTCTCCACTCGGGGCTCTGAATCCCCCTCCCCTTTTCTCTTTTCCCACGCAGTGCCTGACCTGTCTTCTCCCCCGACCACGGTGAAATGTTCTCTTATCAGCCGGTGCATGCCTCGCCTCTCCTCCCCCTGCCCGGCTAAGCCCCCAACTCCTTCTGCGCCGGATGGCGGGGGTCGCCTGGCACACCTTGCCCCCCACCCCGCGGGTCCCCCTTCCAAGCAGCCTCCGCCCGCCCTCACCAGCGGCTGCATCTCCGAGTGCGCCGTGGGCACCTGGAACCGGTCGATCTCCTCCATCATGGTGCCGGGGGGATGGGGAGGGAGGGGACGCGGAACGTGGGCGGCGGCGGCGGCGCAGCTTCCCCGGTGCAGGCGGTGCAGCGAACGGGCGAGTGAAAGGCGCGGCCGGGCGGGCGGGCGAGTGAGCGAGGGAGGGAAGGCGGGACGGAGGAAGGGAGGAGGAAGGCGAGGCCGGCCGGCCACGAGCGCGAGCAGAGAGGGCGGGCACCGCGGCCTCCTCACAGGGCGACGAGAGGAGCCGTCGCGCCCGGCCGCAGCCTCATCCCCCGCTCCCGCGCCCGATCCCGCTGGCTGCCTCCGCCGCGCCCGCTCCCCACCCCAGCTCGCCTCCTGTCAGCCAGCTCAGCCACTGCGGTGACTCGGCAACTCCACTTCCGGGTCCGGGACACCGCCCGCCCCGCCGCGCCGCATAATTCATGAGGGGGGCAGCACCCCACCGCCCGCCTCCGCCTGATTCTGGAGCAGCGGGAGGGGCTGTCTCAGCTCCACATTATTCATGAGGGGGAAGGACGACTGGCGCCCCGCCCACCCCGATAATTCCCACCTCCCTACCCAAAGTGGAGGGAGGTGTTGCCCATGGATGACTGCTTCGGTGGAACGCGATGCGCCTGCGCTCGGGCTTCGGGTCCGTTGCCAAGGTAACGGCGTCAGGATCCAGCCCACCGTGGAGCTTTCTTTTCCCACACCATTAAAGAACAAATGGGAAAGGGGAGAAAAAGAGAGAGGGAAAAAATCCAACTGCGGCAATGAATCCCACCGCCACCCCCGAATGGTCACGTGACAGGCATGCCTCGAAGCGGGGAGGAGGGGTCGCGAGGCTTCCGTTGCGTCACCCGGGTAACGGATGTACACTTCCTGCCCGCAGGGTTTAAGTCGGAATCCTAAGTTTCCAGAAGCTACCTGTTACGACCACGATGGCCCCGAAAACTGCGGCCCGTAGAATGGTAAATCTCCTCTCATCAATTCTAATAAGTCTGCCCCTTTATTCCCGTTTCTGAACTGAGCATTCCCCAAGGCCCTATGACCAGTCACTCCGCTGACCTCCGGCTGCCTCACCAGTGTCGGTCAACAAGAAATTATCGAATGACTGCTGTGTGCCCAGCACTGCTCTAAGTGGAGACATTATAACCTCACTGCCTTTGCCCCTGAGCAGCTGTTTAGGGAGATAGCAATGCAGGGTGTAATATAATGAAGTAGTAAATTGGTACAAACTGTAAGTGCTATTGGAGATGAAATAAAGATCCAGGTGGGCAACAGAAATCAGAGAAGGCTTCCTAGGGAAATTTGTAACTGTAGTTCCTCATTTATTAAGTGTTACTTAGAATAGGGGAGTCAGAACTGCTGAGCTGTGAGAGCAGCTTATTTAAAAAAAAAAAAGACCACACCTCTGGGCAATTGGTCCCTAAAATGGCCCTTACACTGTGGCTGTACAGCTAAGAATGTTGATAGGAGGACAGTCAGGTGAAACCTCCTGTTAGAGCAGTAAGGCTTTCCAAATAATTCGTCAATTATATTTGTGTTCCCTTGTGGTGTTTGTGTTCCTGGGAAAAGTCTTATGGATTAGACTTTACTGTAAGATGCTTAGGACTTTGAACACAGAACACGTAAAAAGGAGAGGCAATTATAACTGCATAGCAAGGTCATTAACAGCGGCATCCTTAACAACACGTTCTGAGTCCTTCCTTTTTCTTCAGTATATTAATTTAGTGGTTAAAAAATCCTGACAAATGACCCCCAACTGATCTTTCATTATCACTTAGCCTCCAACCTGCTTCATCCTCCATCCCCAACAGGAATCCTTAAAATGCATCTCTTCCTATTTCCATACCTCATTCATCCATACTTCACTTTTCCTGAACTTCTTTTCTTTTATCTCACACCCTGGACTGTCTTCCTAAATTAAGTGTCTACTCAGTAAAAAGCTCACACTGTGCCACTCAAGTCACTGTTTCATCATTTTTCTGTTTTATGGGAGTTCTAGGAATCATCCTATTGGGTCGGATCCATGATCCAATTAGACTGATGTTCTGTTGCCAGCAGCAGCATCAAGCAGTGTTCTGAAAAATGGTATAATTAGTTATGTGCTAGATATTCTTATGTGAATGATAGCGCCTAAGTGGTTCCTTTCTATCCGAACCTTTTTAAAATTTGTTCACATTCCTTTTTGTCCCATACCTTAATCTAATGAATTCCATAATTTTATGTAAAGTAGGACAAATGGGGAAATGTATATGGAATGCTCTGGAAACTGTAAAGCACTATATAAATCTAAGTTATATGGTGAGGCGATTGGGGTTAAGTGACTTGCCCAGGGTCACACATCTAGTAAGTGTCAAGTGGCTGGACTGAGACCGGATTTGAACTCAGGTGCTCTATCCATTACACCACCTAGCTGTCCCTATAATGTTTTAAAACGATGATGATGATGGTGGTATTTGTCCTAACATTAACTCATCTCAAATTTCAAAGAGAAGTCTTTTTCATCCTAGAATTTGTGAGTTTGAGGAATAGTCCGTGGTCAGCTTATTTAGGTGACACATGATCTTATAGCTGTTGATTGATCAGGTTTCCTCTAGCCTCTACTGTCTCAGGCAGAAAACTGCTGCAGAATTATAGAATCTTGGAATTGGAAAGGGGCCTGGGAGGCCATCTTGGGTAACCTATACTTGAAGAAGACATCCTTGCCAAATGGTTGTACAGGCATTGCTTGAAGATATCCAGTGAAGAGGAATCTACTGCATCCTGGGATGGTCCATTTGACTTTTGGATACCTTTGTTAGGAAGTTTTTCCTCATATCAAGTCTAAATTCTCCTTTTTGCAACTTCCAACTTATTCTGCCTTCAGGAATCAAGCAGCAATCTAATCAATCCCTCTTCCATGCCATAGGTCTTCTGTGAAGATGGTACCATAAGAGGTTATGAGGGAGTCATCTTCAGAGTTCTAATTCTTAAACAGCAATAGAAATTTAGAGGAAAAAGCAAAACTTCTAGATAGGCTTAAAGGAAAATTTTAAAAATCAGTCAGTCAATGACCAAACTTAAGCAGAGTCCCGAAAAGTCAAATGGGTTAAAAGAAAGAAAGAAAGAAAGAAAAAATACAAAAAGGAAAGTACATAGAAATTCAGTTGCATCAGAAAGCTAGATTCTTCTCCAGATATATAATAAAATGAATGAGTGAATGAAACATATATTGAGCACTTACTATGTGCCAAGCATTATGCTAAGTGGTAGGGATACAAATAGAAAAAATGAGACAGTGCTTACTCTCAAGGATCTTACTCTCTAAGTGGGAGAGGTAGGACATATAAGAGAGTTCAGTTGCAGGGTGGATAACAAGGCCCATGGTTTTTGAGAGTTAGCAGAAAATCAGATGGCAAGCTCCAGAGGATTTCAGTATGCTGTTTCAGGGCAGATTATAAGGCCAGGTGGTCCTATAGCTCAACAAAAGGATTGTACTTGGTAACTCGTAGCCCATCCTAGTGGTATGAATGTCTATCACTCTTCTTGCATGGCCATTCTGATGAGGCCTGGGCATCTCTTACTGTTCTAGTTGGAGGTGATGGGGATGGTGAGGGATACTGAAGGAATTAAATGAAAAAAAAAAGAAATTCCAAAAAAAGAAAAAGTGCTGGAAATAAGGAGTGAACTGAACCTAAGTAAAGAATCTCAGGACAAAATATTGTTGAGACTAAACAATTTGGAAATTCCTCCAGAGAATATACATATCAAAGTGGATTCAATGAAAAGTAGAATTATTTTTACTGGAGGCTAGACTAGCAGAAAAAAAGAGTGGGAGCAAAAAAGCAAACCCAGAAAATTGCTCAACTGAAGAAATGTTTGGAAGAAATGTAGAGAAAAATGATAGACCTGGAGGACATAGCAAGGAGAAGAAATTTAAGACATTAAACTTCCAGACAACTGTGAAGAAAAGGATAGTATATAAAAGCATAAAAGAAATTTTCTCATCAGTATTATAAATGAGAAACATTGCAAAAAGATCAAATTCAAAGAATGCCAACAGGGAATTCTATATTCATATAGTTGACTCTTTCCTTTCTCCAGTTCCTCAGTAGAATGGAAGTTTTTTGAGGGCAGGAGCTGTTTGATTTTTTTTTTTTGTATCCACAGTACCTTGCACATAATAATAAATGCTTAGTAAATGTTTATTGAATTATATCCCTTCTGTATATTTTAGTTGTCATTCTCGGTGCCTTCTCAAAGTCTATTATCTTTTCTCTAGTGTAATGATCAGAACTATACATGATATTCTAGGTATGCTGCACTTCATGATTTTACTTAAGGCTTGTGTAATATTTTCTACTTTCAGTCCTTTTCTGCACTAGGCTGACAGTCTCAAGGACCGACAACCTCAGGGATCTACAATAATTTCCTAGACTATGACCCTTTAGAAACTACTTTATTATGAACAAACTGTTCATCTTTAATCTCTCTTTTTTTAAACTTTCACTCCTTCTATGTCCTCACATTAATTGAAATATGCCTTCCCCCTTTCTTGCCCTCTTCCCCATACTATATCCCTTGATGCCTTTTGTAATGTATGTTTTTCCTTCTTTTTCTCTTTAAAAACAGGACAAAAAGTCAACTTAGTCTTGAGTCCATGTCTTCTGTAGATAAGTTGAAGGAACTAGGCACATTTAGTCTGTAGAAGAGAAGATTCTGGGAAGACACGATACCTATCTTCAAGTTTTTGAAAAATGATCATGTGAAAGAGGGACTAGCTTTGTTCCATTTGGCCTCAGAATACAGAGCCAAGGCTAATGGGTGGAAACTGCATAAAAGAAATAGAAAGACAAATTTAGCTTCAATGTCAGGACAATTAGTGCTGTCGAAAAGTGCAATGAGCTGCCTTAAGAAAGGGCGAGCTCCCCATCCCTGGAGGTGTTCAAGCAGAGGTTAGGCAAACACTTGTCAGATATGTTATAGTGGATTTTTTTTTATATGTGGCTACACTGGATGGCATCTGAGGTCCCTCCAAGTCTTGAATTCTAGGATTCTTACTGCCATTAATATTCATTTGCTTATATCTCCATGAGTACTCTATAGTCTGTGGCTCCCACACACAAGACTTCTGCCCATTGGATTGTAAGCTTCCTCAGAATAGGGGCTTTGGTATTTCCCCCCGCCCCATCTTTGTTTCTCTAACACAATGTTTAATACAAAATATGTACTTAATAAATATTCACTGAATCAAAAGGTGGCAGAGTGTCTCAAAAGGACAATTGGGTGAATATTCATTAAGCACCTATACATACAAGATACTGTGCCAGATGAGGATGGGGAATGATGAAGATAGGGGAACTACTCATGAGTCTTTAGAGAATTTCTGGGGACATTGACAGGTTAAAGTGAT